TCTGAGTTATGGTCTTCAAGCGCGCATACGCCGGGCGGGAGCGCTCCGGCTCTATACGCTGTTGAAACGACGGAGGTGCACTCGAGCTACGACTGCGCGTTATTATTAATATACATATATGGGTTTCAAAAGGAAAATGCAGTCGCTCTTCCTTACGGTTGCTTATTCAGAATAAAATGGGGTTTCCTTAACCAACATCCTCTTCACTTTCCGAGCTTTGAGCAGCCCCCTGCCGTGCTCGGGTACCGTGTGCGACCGCACTGGGGCGTACCACCTTCGCTGCGCGCCGCGGAACGCCTCACCACGCCTGACGCCACTCTCCAGTCTAAACATTTCCCGCTGTCGGCGGCAGAGATGGAGTGTCGTCAAGTGTAGAGAGACGGGGTGGAGCGGGGTGGGGCGGGGCGGGCGGCACCTCGCCTTGTCACACCGTAGGCGCCACCCCGTCAAGCCGCCGCAGCCGCCTCTGCCAAGAATTGGGGGGGGGGAGTGATTACGCTGCTCTCGGGAAATTGCTCCATGCAATAAATAATCCCCTTGGTGTTCGATATTGTTAATCCCCCCCAGATTTGAGTTTGAAGGGGATCGGTGTTGCATTTTGCGCCGGGGATTTGTGCCGAAGCTTAGAGACCCTACTGAGCGCGGCAGTGGTGGGGTGGGGGAGGGTATCTGTTTGTCGTCGCCGCCGCCGTCCTTGGGCCTCAAGCGGCGTTACTCGTTACCAGATCGCCCGAGACACATTTCACCGGGGCGCGCGGGGATACAACGCAAATGCCCCCCACCCCCTATCCCTACGTTTCTTTACTCAGGCCTCTCCGTTCCCATTCTAAAACGTCTCCTTATTCCTTTTTTTTCCCCTTCGCGTCTTTTTCTTGCCCGGGCCACGGGGCTCCCTCCCTTCGCTCAACGCATTTCTTTCCTCTTTGCATGAGCCTCTCTCCCCGCGCGCTGCTCCGCCTGAAGAGGAGCGGAATCCAGCCAGCAAGAAGTGATTGTTTTGCTGGGGCTGTTGGTCGGATCAAAGGGAGCAGGCAAAGGGATGGCCTGGCTATGGGCACGGAGAGTTGTTTGCCAGTTCCATCGCGGGCTTTCACTTTCCACCAGGAAAGTGAGAATGCCGCGGCCCCGAACCCCCGCGCCTCCTTCCCGGCGTCCAGGGCCGTGAGGGGCACCCCCCATTGTCCCTGAGGAGGGGTGGGTCCGGCATTGGGGACAGCCTGCGCTCGGGGCGACCGCCGCCAGGCCGCTGCCGCTGCTGAGCCAGGCCGGCCGGCGCCGCCG